AGTCATTATCTGTACAACAAAACTGCTTTCGTTGTTAACAGGTGTAGTCCCAGAAAATTCGAAATTAGGGAGTAGTCCAGCAACTATAAGCCAGTAAGCCTTATTTCAATCATGGGGAAAGTGATGGAAATCATGTTAAAGGATAGGATATTTGTGCATGTAAAATCGCAGGAATTTCAAGATCAGAGAAAACATGGCTCATGGCAAACTAATCATATTAGTTTTTTGATTGGGTAAAAAATAATAGGTCACAGTGGTGCAGTAGACATTGCTTACCGAAATGTTTGGTAAGGCTTTTGACACTGTTGCATATAGAAGGCTTATCAATTAACTACAATCTTTGAGTTTGGATTCCAATACTGTTGAAATAAAGCGCAGTACCATCAATGTTTCCCACTTTGCTGGCCTTTTTACAGTGCCAGGTATACTCTTGTGAAATGTTTAAATCACCATGTCTGTTGAACCAAGCACTGCCAAAAAATAAAGAATACAAAAAAAACAAAAAAACCCAAGGACAGAGTATAGAATATTTGAATCCTAACCTCAACATCTGAGGAAAGGGATTTAGGAGTAATTATTTCAAATGACTTAAAGGTAGGCAGACAATGTAATAGAGCAGCAGGAAATGCTAGCAGAATGCTTGGTTGTATAGGGAGAGGTGTTAGCAGTAGAAAGAAGGAAGTGCTCATGACCTTGTACAGATTACTAGTGAGACCTCACTTGGAGTATTGTACGTAGTACTGGAGACCGTATCTTCAGAAGAATATTGATACTTTGGCAATAGTTCAGAGAAGGGCTACTAAACTGGTTCATGGATTACAGGATAAAACGTACCAGGAAAGGTTAAAGGATCTTAACATGTATAGCTTGGAGGAAAGACGAGACAGGGGGATATGATAGAAACATTTAAATACATAAAGGGAATCAACACAGTGAAGGAGGAAACTATATTTAAAAGAAGAAAAACTACCACAACAAGAGGACATAGTCTTAAATTAGAGGGGCAAAGGTTTAAAAATAATATCAGGAAGTATTACTTAACAGAGAGGGTAGTTGACGCATGGAATATCCTTCCAGCTGATGTGATAGAGGTTAACACAGTGAGGGAGTTTAGGCATGCGTTGGATAGACATAAGATTTTCCTAGATATACGATAAGGCCAGGGACTTATGGAAGTATTTAGGAAATTGGGCAGAATGGTTATTTGCCGTCACATGCCATGTTTCTATGTTTAATGTACAGAGGACTAGGGAAGCTAGTGATGACACTGCAATCTACATCAACTCTCTGTACCACATCATATATATATCTTCCAGACAGTCTGAAATCTATCCATTGTATTTCTGGGGTTCCTTTTAAGGTTACAGCGGACCAACTTTGCACACCAGTATTGTGTTCTATATATTATTCATATCCAGTCCAGTATATTTCAGATTTTCTGTGTTCTCTAATTTAATTATGCTTTTCCTTTAAATTCTCAGTGTATCTTTGGCACTTTTATTTAGAGCCTTGTCGATGTCGGATGTCCCTAGAAATTTACATTATGTGAAGGCTAATCAAGGTTTAAGCCAATGAATTTTTTTTTTTTTTTTCAACAGCAATGATCAGAGTTCTTTATTCCTATTTCACATGAATGATTTATTTATTCTCAGATGGAGGCTATGTAATTGAACTACATATTCAGATACTATTTAATTTATTGTTCATTAAAGCGTACTTTTGTTTTTAAATACTAGTACAACTAAGACACCAGGTCCAACTAATTTAAATTACATTCAAACAAAATTGATTTATTATTTTTTATACAGAGCTAATAACTACCTCCTTGGTGTAACCTTATGAATAATAATTGTATTAGACTTTTTTCTGCAAGCGACAAAATAAAAACAAAAAATGCGGACTGCTTGCAAGTACTTTTACTTTTAAACTTTGCTAAGAGTAAGAATATTGAGCATGTGGGAGACTTTGAAACATGTTCGAATCAAAACAAGTACAAATGCCACCTGCTCCCAATAAAAAAAATATAATGGTGGGGGCTTCATGAATGTGAAGGAAATTAATAAACTTGCAACATGGTTAGTTACTAAATTACGAATTTAAAGTGAATTTCAAATTTAAGGTCAAAGTAGCTGCAGTGGAAAAATTCTCAGTCATTCATGCTTTGAAATTCAGTTTACATTATTACTAGTGAAAACCCTGAAATTATAATTCTAGCTTTTCTTTTTAACATGCTAAGAGTCCATGAATTAACCTTTTAAATGAACACTCCAAGCTCAGTAAGAACTATAGCCTGTTGCAGTGATTATGGTGCAAGGAGTGCATGGGCACTATCCCACAGTAAGATGTCAAACTGTTTGACAATTTACTTGGGTCCCCTTGGGTGTCAGTGATACATTAACCACATTCAGTCTTGTTAAGCAGGGGAAGCCAGATTGCAAAGCAAGACCAGGCAAGAACATGCTCACTGGCTGAGAACAAAAAATGAAGAAAACAGACTGTATTTTTCCCATTTTCCAATAGTATTTTGATAAGAATTTTGGTATCTGGAAGTTGAATGTCAGCAGAGTAAGCAGTAGCTGGAAACTAAACTACTCAGAAACCCTTGAAGGTGGTCCCCACCCATCCGCGGCAGGTGGGGTGGCCTCTGCCCTCCTTCTCCCCACCTGCTCTCGTCTGCCAGGGCAACTTAGCCCCTGGGGAGAATCCCACCTTATCCTCACGGACACAGACAGAGAGAGGGACAGAGGAAGGACAGATATGGGAGGAGGAGGGGGCTCTCCAGGGACTTAAGCCTCAGAGAGAGCAGGAGGGAGGGAGAAGCTGGCATGGCACAGCACGAAAGAAGACCATCCAGCCAGCAGGGGTGCAGGAGCAGCAGGGAGCAGGAGGGACAACTTTGCCTGGCTGTGGCCAGGATTGAAGCGGGCGCCGCCACACTGCCGGAGCACGTGAGCTAAGCTTCCCCACGTCCCGAAGCACTGGGGCAGGGGGCTTAAGGCCCGAATGAAGGGGGCAATCAGCGGAGGGGGCTTAAGGCATGGGGCCAAATGGTAGGGGAGGGAGGTGGGTGAGCAGGCGGTGCAAAGAGTGGGGCTTAGGCCTGGTCGTCCCCAGAGGGACAACTTGGCATGGCAGGTGGCAGCCAGGATTGAAGCAGGCGCCGCCGTTCTGCCGGGGTGCGTGAGCTAGGCTTCCCCACCTCCCAAAGCCGTGGGGCAGAGGGCTTAAGGCCTGAGTGGAAGGGGGCAAGTGGCGGAGGGGGCTTTAGGCACAAGGCCGAAAGCAGGGGAGGGAGGTGGGTGAGCAGGTGGTGCCTTGAGGGGGGCTTAAGCCTGGTCGTCCCCAGAGGCAGGGGAGGCTGCTGGATGAAAGCTTGATGCACTTTGCACTGCCCTTCCCCCCTCTGAGGGCAGTGCAGGCAATCTACCTGCCTGCCCGTCTGCCTGCCTGGCTGGATGTGGCTGGATGACATCCTGATTGTTCCATCAGCCTCTGTGATGTCACCGTGTAAACTTGATACCTGCCTGCCTCACTTCCTGCCTGGTTGCCAGCCTCCTGCCCATCGACCATGGGCCAGGTCAGCAGTAGAACCAAATGCTAGTTCCTTGGGAGCCGTTCGCATGGACCAAAACCGAGAATAGACTTCAGGGGGACTTAGCTGCGAAAGCCCTGGAACTATTTTCGGCATGAATACTTTGCGGTTTCCTGGTCAGTCTCCAGCGGCACTTAGCCGCGATTCTATGGAACTATTTTCAGCTAAGGGAACTGGATGGGTACCGGTCAAATTATGACTTCCATGAAATTCCTGAACCTCTGAAGTGATCTGGGTGATTTTTGGATATGTTGGTCACCCAGATTTGTGGGGTTTTTGTGTGCTTAAAGGTATTTTTGGAGGGGGGGGAGGTTTGTAAAAAAATGTGTTTCCTGTGCCTGGAGATGATGGAGTTAAATACAGTGCTTGACAGCGAGGACCCTCAACCAAGCTGCAGCGGTTTGTGGGGTACACGGTGGTTATGGTGTCCGGTGCGTTGCTTACGGTACACTCTAAGTTCCCACTTTCACAAGCCAAGTTCTCCCGCTGAAAAAGTTCTCCTGAGAGCTCCAGGCCTCAGAGAAAAATGGGGTCGGATC